GTGAGAGGATACACCAGAGACAGAGTGGGGAGCAGAACAGGTAGAATGATGAAGTTCACTGCTGAGGGGAGCAGGGGGCAGGTCAGGAGAGGTCTGCCGCCACCATGTGGATCACCTCCATCACCTCCTGGGAGGGGATCTAACTCCACTGAAGAAGCTGCGGCTCAATTGCTGTGCTGTATCCTAACCTGTTATCTGTCATAAAACATATCACCAATGCTTTTTTCTATGTATCTTACTGCAGTAGGTCTTGAATATCTACGTTTTTTGATCCATTTTATTTTTCTGTATGGGGTTAAAGAATGATCCAAATTCATTTGTTTAAATGCAGCCTTCTTATTTTCCCTACACCATTCACTAAAGAGACCTCCTTTCCCCTACACCATGTGGTCATGTTTGTTGTATTATAAATCAATATGTATGTGGATTTATTTCTGGGCTATTTCTTTTTGTGCCACCTGTCATTTTTTAGTAATGTCATTTTTTTTTTAGTACTGTCGTTTTTCTAATATAGTTTACAATCAGGTGTTGCGATACACCCTTTCCTTCTTTCTCAGGACTATAAATACCCAATTATTAAGTGTATGTTTTTGTTGTAGAAATGCTTTAAGCATTTTAACTACTAACCCATAATCAGGTATGTAAGTATTTTCTCCCATTTTGTAGGTTATCTTTTCACTCTTTTGATTTGTCTCCTCTGATACACATAAGTTTTCATTTTGATTAACAAATTTTTTAAATAAAGAAAGAAGAGAGGTACACAAACAGATGGTTAAAGTAATACATACATGTAAAGTAATAAAAACCAAGGATTAGCAAGGATGTGAAAAAACTTGGACTCACATATTTTGGCCAAATATAAGTTGTTTGAAAAGACACTCAAGTATTTTGTATATGCTCAAGAACATGGGCTCATCTCATTCAACATGCCTATTGGAGTATATGTACTCCAGAGAACTGTGTGTGGACATCAAAGGGCATTTCAGAAACATTCATAGCAGTAATGTTTGTAAGAATACCAAGTTGGAAACAAACAAATTGTGGTATAAACACACTAAAATACCACACAGTAATGAAACTCAAAATCACATTGTCAATTTTTATTACTCGTTATACTGGATTACACCAAAGCAATAATAGTCTCAATCCTGTTTAAATTATAAGTCATGAATACAGGAGATCAAGAATTCAGAGCTCTCTAAGCTTATTTCCCTTAATCTATATGCAGCTTAATGTCAAATGATCTGAAATTCTGAATTTTAAATATGCAATACTCACCTTTGCTTTTAAAAGGTCAGACATTTCAGAATGATTACTGTATGTCTTTTGCTGCAATGGCTGTCTGTGCTTTATCCACTGTTCACCAGGAGAACCTTCAGGAAATAACTGCTGACTGTGGCGGAATTTGGTTCGACTACATAGAAATTTTAAAGATAAAAATCAGATTAGAAAATTCTCACTTAATATTTTTTTCTACCCTTACTTTACCTTATAGACTAGAAATTTTGTCCTTTGATTTATTTTCTATCTCTAAGTTACATAAGGGAAGGAATTCTTCACTGCTCTGTTTATTGCTATATCCCTAGAAGTGTCTTTGTTAACAATGTTTTAAATAAATTCATGTTATTTTTATTTTTTTAAGATTTTATTTATTTATGCATACAGAAATGGGGTACAGGCCAGAGGTGCAGGGGCTGCAAGGGAATTCACCAGAAACAGTATGGAGCATAACAGGCAGGCCCACGAAGTACACTGCTGAGGAGAACAGTGAGCTATACAGGAGAGGTCTGCTGTACCATGAGGGTCAGCTCTGGGACAGAGATCACACTCCCACAGAAGCAGCCACAGCTTGGCTAAGCTTTGCGGTGCAGCGCTCCAGCCCACTATGCCACTGGGGGAGCCCATAAAAATGTTATTTTTTTTTTTTTAAAGATTTATTTATTTGTACATACAGAACTGGGGTACAGGCCAGAAGCTCAGGGGCGGCGAGAGGCTTCACCAGAGACAGAGTGGGGAACAGAACAGGCAGATCAACGAAGTACACTGCTGAGGGGAGCAGCGGGCGGGTCAGGAGAGGTCTGCCACGCCATGTGGTCACCTCCAGGGCAGGCGGGAATCGAACTCATGCGGAAGCGGTTTTAGATTCTCAGTGCTGAGCTTTAACCCGCTGCGCCACCAGGGAGGGCCTAAAAATGTTATTTTTACTCCAAAACTTTTTAAAATTATCCATACCATATTTTCCCTCTTGCTGGAAGGGGATCTGAAAATTTAAGCTATACTCTAAGGTAAAAAAGGGCAAAAAAAAAAAAAAAAAGAACAATTAAATAAAATCTCAAATTCTGTGCACAAGAATTTGTACAAGCTAACACTAAATGTAATTTCTAATGAATATTTCCACTTCTATAGTACCACTTACATGTATAATACAGTCCAGAATCAATGATCTCAAGAACTGTATCACACTAAGATGATTTATGAGCATCTCATTCTTCCCCATTACCATTTTCAAATTATAATATAACTGCAATCTCTATACCCTTTCTCTAGGTAAAATCCAAGTATTTCCACCAATATATAATCGCATAGTCTGTGTAATAAAAACATAATTCCTCTACCCCCAAGAAACCTGAAAATTGGTTGATGCTGTTTTGTTATATCCAAATTCCACTACCAGAACCACAAACTTGGGAGTAAAACTCATTAGAATCATACCACACACTGGTGGATAAATTCTATCAAACATAAACATTCATATAACTTTTACCCAAACACTCACTATTTGTAACTTTTTTTTTTTTTAAGATTTATTTATTTATTCATACATCTCTGGGGTACAGGCCAGAGATGCAGAAGGTGAGAGGATTCACCAGGGACAGAGTGGAGAGCAGAACAGGCAGATCCACGAAGTACACTGCTGAGGGAAGCAGTGGGCGGGTCAGGAAAGGCCTGCCTCACCAGGTGGATCTCCTCTGGGGCAGATGGGAATCCATGCATGGGAAAGCGGCTTAAGCTTCTTAGTGCAGTGCTTTAAGCCGCTGTGGCACTAGGGAGGGCCATAATCTTTTTAGGGTCTGTTTCTTTTTAATCTTCACTACATTCCTGTCTATTTTTTCTGTATCTATTGGCATGTAATTTATTGATCATAATCACAGATTGTGAAAGGCAGTAATTACTATTAGGGTAGTTCACTACCTAAGCTCCTTGTCCTCATAAAACCCATAATAAACTCGTAATAAATTAACCCATAAAGCTCATAATAGAATATTCTATGTACTTTAAAAATATTGATTGGTTTACTTCTATTGTTTAATTTTTGAAACTCAAAAACAAACTATTGTTTTTAAGATATTAAAGTAACTTTTAAGCCAAAATAACTCTGAAGCCAATAGAGGCTAAGTTTTATCTAGTAAACTGATTGTAAATATATATGTGCATATTTAACAAAATTACTTGTTAAGCCCACTCAATAATCGTGATTTAAATAAAATTAATTTTCAGTGCTCGCTTCGGCAGCACATATACTAAAACTGGAATGATACAGAGAAGATTAGATGGCCCTGCGCAAGGATGACACGCAAATTCGTGAACCACTCCATATTTTTTAGGTGGATTAAAGACCTAGAATAAGAATGGAAATCATAAAATACCTGGAAGCAAAGATGGGCAAAACAATACACGATATAAACTTCAGCAACATCTTTCAAAATACAGCACCCAATACAACGATAGTGAAGGAAAGGATGAAGAGATGGGGCTACATCAAGTTAAAGAGCTTCTGAACAGCAAAAAAAGACATTACAAAAAACAGACATCCTGACTAGGAAAAAAATTTCTCACATAAAACTAGCAATAAAAGATTGATCAGGCCCTCCCTGGTGGCGCAGCGGGTTAAAGCACAGCACTGAGAATCTAAAGACGCTTCCGCATGAGTTCGATTCCCACCTGCCCCGGAGGTGACCACATGGCGCGGCAGACCTCTCCTGACCCACCCGCTGCTCCCCTCAGCAGTGTACTTCGTCCATCTGCCTGTTCTGCTCCCCACTTTGTCTCTGGTGAAGCCTCTCACCGCCCCTGAGCCTCTGGCCTGTATCCCAGTTCTGTATGCACAAATAAATAAATCTTAAAAAAAAAAATTTAAAAATAAAATAAAATAAAAAAGATTGATCACAATGATATACAAAGAACTGATGAAATGCAACAAAAATAAACAACCCCATCAAAAAATGGAAAGAGCTAAAACAACACTTCTCCAAAGAGGAAATGCAGATGACCAACAAGAGTATGAGAAATATTCAACATCACTTGTAATAAGGGAGATGCAAATTAAAACCAAAATGAGATACCACCTCACCTCAGTGAAAATGGCACATCTTCAAACAACTGGCAACAACAAATGTTGGTGAGGATGTGAAGAAAAAGGAACTTTCCTGCACTGGTGAGAATGCAAACTAGTTTTCCACTATGGAAAACTGTTTGGAGATTCTTCAAGCTGCTAAAAATGGAGCTTCCATATGACCCAGCAATCCCACTCCTATGTATCTACCCAAAAGACGGAGAACACTGATCCAAAAAGATACCTGCACCCCCATGTTTATTGCTGCTTTATTTACAATTGGAAAGACATGAAAACAACCCAAATGCCCAAAAGTGGATGACTGGATTAAAAAGATGTGGTACATATACACAATGGAATATTACTCAGCAACCAAAAAAAAAAAAAAAAACACATACCTTTTGCAGCAATATGGATGGAAGCTGGAAAAAGGCATGCTTATTCGTGAAATAAGCCAGAAAAAAAGGTAAAAATACCAGATGGTTTCACGCATAGCAAGAGTATAACGGGCCAGGCGAGAAAATAATAATAATGAACAGCTATATACCAGAGACATTGGGGTAAAGTAGGTAATGGGATCAAAAACAGTGGGGGAAGGGAAATGCACTGAACTATGGTGATGGCACACAGGTAATTTGGTGATGGGAAGCCCATGGGGATTACAACTGAGATGGAAAAATGCACAAAATGATGGGAAAATGCATAAACTGATGTAAAAATAAGCTATTATATTATTTTTTAAAAATTAATTTTCAAGCAAGAGTTCATGTCCATGTAAGTCACTCTTTACAGTACACAGTCTATGCCAAGGGAAGAAAAAAGGTCAAGTCTTCATTCACAGTTCTCCTTCTGAACCAATTACACATCAGCATCCCACATTTACCCTTCACAAAAAAAGCAAATTTCAATATATCTACTATTCGACTATCTCCAGAAACGCAATTATCTCTAAATAGGAAATGAGAACAGAAGAGTATAAAAGCACAGATTCTTTCTTTTCCAGGTGTTCTCTCTATTCTATCCATAAAGTAGGCATCCTCGTTTACATACCATTACAAACTGTGCCTGAAGCTCTTTTTCAGCACCAATTAATCTTGTATCTTACCAAAATTCCCTTAAAGCCCATATTGTATACAAGAGTAACAAAACAGTACCTGATAAAAAGGAATCCAACACTTCCATCAACTTTAGAAGTAAAATTCTACATTTAAAACTAATGGAAGGCCCCTCCCTTGTGGCACAACGGGGTATAATACAGCATTATGAAGCTAGCAACAGTCACTACAACATAAGTTCAATCCCCCTCCAGGGGATCCGCATGGTATGGCAGATCTCTCTTGTCTCACTTGCTGCCCCCCCTCAGATCTCTCCTGTCTCCCTTGCTGTTCCTGTCTCGCCTGTTCTGCTCCCCACTCTATCTCTGGTGAATCCTCTCATCCACCCCCCCATACCTCTGTCCTCTACCCCAGTTCTTATAAATAAATCTTTTTAAAAAAAAAAAAGATTTATTTATTTGTGC